TTACAAAAAAAAGAGAAATGTAAAATGTTTAACATTTCTACTCTATCTTATGGCTCATTTCTGTTTTATTGCTTATAACTGATATAACTGATAACTGATAACGCATCGAATTTAACCGATTTCTTTATAATTGTTGATATCATCTTTACACATATTTCATCAGTTTGTCTTTCCATTTATTCTCGATATTAACCCAACACTATCATTTATAATTTAAGATTTTTTTAAGCATTGCCATTTTTTTAACCATTTCAATTCTTCTACATATTTTCAGCTTATCATCTCTTATCATTCAAATATATTTAGCTCATGAATTTTTTTCTTGAATTCATCCCGAGAAAGATCGGGAGCTCACTTATAAAATCAAACAATCATATGATATTAAGAAGATAATATAAATTGCTTACTATATTATATATTCTCTTCAAAATTTCTTAACATTATTCTGAAATGTGTTATTTTCAACATTTTTATATTTTGTTACATTCGTTAATTTTTAATTAAAAATAATTTTTAATAATTTGAAAGTTTAATTAATAACATTAAATTGTTATTTAAATTTTTTTCAAAACAATTTGATATCAATTTATTCCGATTATCATAATTTATCAATGAATTTCATACTCTTACTTGTTGTTCCACAATGATAAATTTACCCTATCATTTGCCCGTCATTCCTTTTATAATGTAGCTGATATATGAAATATTCTTAAATGTCTTCGGGCGATTTACTGGGAAATCTTGATGCCCAAATCGAAACAAAAGAAATGAGCGAAAGGATTGTTAAAATATTTTGGAGAAATTTTAATGCAAGGGAAAGGATGTGAACAGATGTAGTAGTAGAAAGGAGGATGTTATTTATGGGAGATGTTGAACTTGTCAATTTTACTAAATTGTTTAGTGAAAGATGATAAAGGACAGTGGGATTACATTTGAATGTATAGAAGTGAAGAGAAGAAATGATAGGGAATTAGTTATTCATAAATGACTAATAATCATATATAATAGTAAATAGTAATACTAAACATCCGGAATAGTAATAGTAATGCTAAATATCCGGGATAATAATAGTAATATCAAACATTATGAAATCTGAATTTCACTGAGTTCGGTTAATTGTACAAATAAAAATATATCAATTATATCATCATTTCTTTTTGTTTTATTTTTGATTTTATTCTTTTTCTTATTAAGACTTATTTAATTTGCTTTTAATTTTTAATAATGCTTGAAAATCATCGATTGTTACATTTCAAGCAATATTATTGTAAAATTTTATAGGCGCAACTATCAAATAGCAAACTAAATCTATTTGCTAACAGATAGTGCTGACAGTATTGATATTAACAGAAAAGATAATCCTTATTATCTACACCACTAATTTTCACGTCTTCAATATTTCGTCATTTTTATTAGTTTTAGGATTAAAAAATTCGATGAACATCAGACTAGTTTCAATCCAATTTATTTTAATTTATGAATTATAGTAATAGCAAAAGAATTGGTTAATAGTATTGATGTGTTGTTTTGTCGTATACTCCGACAATGTTCAATCAGTAGTTAGTTATCTTACCGATTAGTTGTAACTGGTCAGTTGAATGATGCATACCAGACTATCAAACAAAGACAATTTAAGATTGTCAAAAGGATAGGAGCGCATCCTTTTATAGGGATGACATTTTGGTAGAAATAATTTCAGATCCTTTTTAGTTCGTTATTTTTTTCGCTTGAATTGTTGTAACGAAGTTGTTGAATAAATTGATGATATTAGGAAATATGTGAACAGATATAATGATATATTTTCATTCCAACAATTTATTCCTTTAGCTAAAATTTTTCATATCAATAAAAATTTACTTCTCTCTAAGACTCTGTTTATAATTTAACTCAATTAAGGTAATCCTAAAATGTTGAAATAAGTATTATGAAAATAGTATGAAATAAATTATCAATAATTATTCAATCTTTTTCTTTTTTCAACGACAACTTTTATTACTTCAAATGTGTACCAATTTTTCTCGTTATATTTTTTGATAATTGCAGAATTTATGAGAGGTATAATAGATAGGTGAAATTAAATTTAAATTTTAACTTATAATATTAAAAGAGTTTGCTCAGATTTTTCAATGATTAAAAATTATCTTTTTTTTAAGTAAAAATTTAAATGTGAAGAAATCCATTTGTTAATGCATTATTGCTTTTTCCACTTGCTTATTTGTAGGAATGAATTCCATCAATGAAATTTAAAGTTTACAAATTTGTTAAATACAAACTAAGCAAAGCACTTCTATTGGTAAATCAACAAAAAGAATTTAATTTTTTTAAATGAGAAATTTTGAAAATAAAAAAGGGCTCGCTTATATCACAAGACTTTTCTACATCATTACAAATAGATAGATTCGTTTCAATCATTCTTATCACTCATTCCATCTATCCAATCATTTCGAATCAATCGCAAGAAATAATTATTTCTCCTATAAAAATATTTTTACAACAAAAACAAGAAAAAAAATCATCTCTTTGTATTATTCTATGTGAAATACAAATTTTCATATTTTTTCAAAATCAAATAAAATACATTTGATATGGTTGTAAAAAATTATCACCGTATCATCAGGAATGAAAAGTAAATAATCGGCATCGATGTTAATTACAAATGATTTCTGATTAGTCTCGGGAAGATTATCGTTTTATTGAGAGATAATGGTAACTTGACTTCTAACTTTTTAAACTTCAATAAAATTTATTAAATTATTTCATGTTGCGGAAAGTTTTTGATCGAAATGCTCCGTTAAATTCTATGACATATAGGATGCTGCTCTGTTGAAAATTGATGAAATTATGATATTTTACTATGTTGAGTTATATTTCCACAAAAATAACAGATCGTCGCAAAAAAAGGAACATATAGTGCTAAGTAGAAACTTCTTCAACAATTTGCGCACAGATAAAAATGTGCCCTTATTGTTCTTTTCAACAGACTGTACATTGGAATGATTCAGAACAATGAAAAATTGCCTCTGTTAACTGTCGATTTGATAAACGTCTCGCAAAATTCAAAATCTCATTTCTTTTGCAAAAATTTCTAAAAGTTGGCGGGAGGAGAGAAATTGTATTGGAAGCTGGCAATTAATAATTTCTTAAGTTATTTCGAAAGAATTTAGCTTAAGAAAAAAAGACAATAAGAAAATCTTTCGGATAAAAGTGAAATAATAGTAAAAGAAAGGAATAAATTTAAAATATAATTATCCTAAATTATAAAACTGAATAGATCGCTTCTCTCCTTCGTCAGAAAACTTTTAAATTCAAAAATAAAGCCAGCCATTATCTTCCAGTAATTATATTCCTCCATTCTTTAACTATAATCCATGTTACTTTATCATATCATTCATCCAACAATTCTTCTTCTTGTCATATTGAGTTAAATCTATCGGATTAGAGACAAATATTTATCAAACTTCTTCTATGCAATTATTTTCTAAGAAATATTTTACATTAGCTTTTGAATTTATTTTTAATGAAATTTTACGGGAAACGAACAATTCAGTACTTTAATAATCAGTGATTGAATAAAAGTCTTAAATTTATGAAAATGTTGCAAATGACGATCGGACAAGGACGCATTTTGTCGCAATATGAGGAGCAAAGGTGTAAATAAACGGAAATGGAGATAAAATCAAATAATAATAATTAGTAATAATAACAATAAATAATTAATAATAATAATAATAAATAATAATACATTCAGCATGACCAATAAAATATCGCGTGAAATGATGAAATAAAAATAGGAGCAGAATTTTTATAAAAGTATAATAAAATTAACGCTTCATTAATTGCATTTAATGAATAGAATGAGGGAAATAGAGAGTGGGAGAAAGAGAGAAAGAAAGGAAAAAGAAAGTCAATTTTGGAAAATTTAAATGAGTGAATAAGATATGAAAGAGAGGATAAAGATTGAGCAATTTGTTGGCAGTTGAAAATTCCATCAAATCATCAACGAACATAATCAATTCAAAGTGGAGCAATGAGGAATGAAATCATTTGAAAATAAATTAAGTAGTGATGTTCCAGTTATTCATTCTATTTACCAAGAAATTTCCAAGAAACAATCTGAGCGTTAATTAAAATAATTAGGGTTGACACCTATTGTTTCTTGATAATATAAGGATACATACGTATTGTTTCTCAACAATTGTTTCTTCCAAGATTTTCCTTTTTCCTTTTTGATTTAAAAATGAATTTGATGAAGTAAAGAGGAAGAAGCTTGAAATTTAAATGTTCCATTATAAACCATATTGATATATTTAAGTTAGAATTAGTAATTTACTGTATCATCACTCTTCAACAGGTAATTTATGAATGTTTACGAATGATGAAAAGATGAGCGCAATATCAAAAAGAAAGGTAATGATCAATGCTAATTATTAGCATATTACCATCAATTAATTGACGATATATAGAAGAATAATGCGAATTTCAAAGTAAATTTTTCTTTCATCTTTTTTTTTCATATTTCAAAATAATAAACATAAAATAATAATGATATCATTTATGATTTCAATCAATCAAATCAATAAATGTTTGTCACTTTTAGAGAGATGGCTTATTGAGTAGCAACTAAAAGTTTTTACCAGTCTGAAAATAACGTACCTTCACGATACAACACATTGATATTTAATTGTTGCAATGTGATATGGGAAATCGTTTGTTTTTTTGCCAGAAAGCAATATGAGGCATTATCGCATACGTATATACGGTAATGCCTTATACTTAATGACAGTATCTTAGTACCTTAATACATAATGATAGTACTTTAGGTATCTTAGCTCTAACTTAACTCATCGATAATTTTAAGAAAGGTAAACAAGGGAGAAGGCATATTTTGATAGTGCTTTATGAATGATGATAAATTAGAGATAGAAGAACGGAACGCTAATAGAATAAAGGATTTTTTTTAATATCATGCCATATGCATGCTATCACCTTTCTGTCTTTACTTAGTACCCTACTGCTACTACTACTACAAGTGATATTACTGCTGCTATCGCTGCTATTAGTGGTTCTGCTGTTGGATGGTGCTGCAGATGGTGATGCTACAACTGAAACTACCCCCGTGGTGCAAAAAGGACCCACCCGAGCTGTGTCAATAGTGGAATGAAGCCAGCATAAGAAGTGAAGGCCAGCGAGAGTGAGGCGCCACTGACCTTGTCTTCCACTACTACGCCAACAGACACATTCACATTTGGTACTCGATGCCATCGATGATTACGATTACCGCTATTACTACTACTTTTACTACGACTACTACTACTGCTACTTACCCATTCACCAACCATCTTTAAAGCAGCATTTTGCTCTTATTTCTTTATCCATTGACCTTCATTTTTACTACTATCTATCCCTTCTCTCTCTACATACTTCCTCCATCCCAAATTACTGTCATCCCTCATCCAACCAAATAATATCATTTACCTATAATGAAATTAGGCCCTTACCAGTTTGTCACATTTTAATAGTCTCATTAAAAGTATGCGCTTTAATATATATGTGTAAATAAGTAAATATTAGAAAGCATTTTCCTTACGTAAGTATTATTAGGTTGAGGATGGGAATACGGGGTGTATTAATTGGGATACTACCGGGTACGGGAAATTAATTCTATCCTTTTTACTCTTCCCTCTTCCTCTCTCACAGTTCTAATCTTTATACTTTAGCCTAATTAATCATTTCTAGTTTATCATACATACTTCATTCATCATAACTCATACTTTTTCTTTTCATCTTTTCATTTCTGACTTTTTATTTTAAAAAACTTTTATTATACAATCTTTCCAATAGATATCTGTTACTTTTTGACCTTTACTTATCACAATATTCATTAAAATTACCTGATATATTTGATATACCTGATAGCTTAATCGTATTCAAATTACCGTATCCTATGGTACTTATCGTTAGTTTGAAATCTCCTTGTATTTTGTTACCGAAACATGTAACTATTATCATATAATTTTGTTTCTTTTTTTTGATAAAAATTACTGTTATTAACTTGTGAACAAAATCCGTAACAGGAAAATCGAATTCTGAATAGTAGCCTTGACCTTTCCCAAGGTCGCTATCGGAATTCAAAAACCTTTGGAAGAGGGTCGCTGACTTGGATTTCAAACCAGTTGGTTTAAAATTGCCTCTAAAGAGACAAGTTTCATATTAAAATCTTGGAAGTGTAAAATTCAAAGTTTTTCAAATTATTTATGGGTCATACTTGACAGTATTTGTTGTTTAATGAGGATAGTTTCTATATATTCACCCATCTCATCTGAAATTTTGAAAAATATAGATAAGAGTAATGGTATGGGCAGTGATAACATCTCATTAGGTATTAGTATGACTCATTAGTATTATGACTCATTAAACTGATCAGAAATATAGCTTATTAACGGATGGAATTACTTATTTCTTCAAGCATTAATGTAAATAAAGGCTATCGATTTGGTCTTACAATGTGTTATAATAAAGTATTACAGATTTATTATGATGATACGGTAAATAGTTAGATATGATAGATGATACGATAAGATTGGATGTTATACAATAAGCGATTGTGTTAATTCTGTAGCGAAGTTCATAGTAAGATCGATTTTGTAGAAGGGGAATTTTTAAGTGATGTAAGGAAATAAGATTACAGAGAGGAAAGGAAAAAGAGATAAATCATATTTTTAGTTAGTCTAAAATTGGTGTTGAATGCAGCTGCTTTTGTTGTGGTGGTGACAACCAATGAGAGAGAGAGAGAGAGAGAGAAATAACTTTAATCTCTTGGAAATTCTCATTCTTGTCGAATACAAGGGAAGCAGTGATTTTTGTAAAATTTTTCTTGAAAACGTGAAATTTCAAATTTTCAATTTAACGTCATAATACGGTCTTCCATCATTTACTACTCTGAAGAAAAAGCTACACTTTGTTTACAGTAAATTTACCTTCCGTTCTCAAGTGACTTTTAAATAGTTGAAGTAATATTTCCTTTTGCATTATCTTTTCTTATCAGTTAATAGTATAGAAATGTAATTAAATATATGTAAGAAATGTTATATCGCTCCTATCGGATGAATGTGTTGCAACAAATATCCCATAAAGTCTGGTAATAATGTCTGAAAATGCAGAAGTTTGGGCAGAAAATCATATGATCAGTGAATGATAATTAATTTGTCATTATCATTTATGATGATATGTTAAGGATGAATGGAAATAAATTTACGTAGCATTACACATTTTCAATACATACCTAATAAATGCTAATTAATATATTCTTACTTTATAATGTAGTACATGTGATGCATAAATTTCACTTATCCATTTGTAAAACATTATTCTATATATATTTGCTAATTAATGTAGCCATAGAAGATGAACCATTTAATTCAGTAATTTCAGCAACCATTCGAATAGTATAAGAAAATCCTTCTTTTGAAGGTACGACTACTGCGATTGCTATCAAAGCGAGTTTACCATTGTCCCACTTCCCTTCTTCCATATAAATCAGTAAAGAAAATCGATATGCTTATGACGCAAGAAGAGTTAGATATTCTTGGCGGACAATTAAACGATCTTTAGTCTTTTAATGAGTAGCCAATTAACAATGAAAAAGAATTGAGAAAGTATGATATATCAAATATAATTTTCAAAGTTTTTTTTTCGAAAAATCTAATAATTTCATTATTCTTTTAATTATTATTATTATTATTATTACTATTATTAGTTATTATTATTAATGTTATTATTATTATTATTATTATTAGTTATTATTAATTATTATTATTTCTCAATTTTCTCATAGTTATATCAATGATAAGCTGACGTTATCATTGGTAGCAGTTTAGTTGAAATGAATAATTAATAGCTGAAATGTCTAATGAACAATAAGATTAGTATAGATTTGTTGATATTAACTTTTAATTTTCATAGCATTTACTGCTTCACTATTATTATGGATCGTTTCCTTTATACTATAGATAATAGTTGTTGCTAAGTAATAAATATTCTCAGTTGAAGAGATTTAAAATGGCATTTTTGTTTGTGAAGTGTTTAAGAAAAGATTATAAAAGTTATGTGTAAAAAGTTTACTAGCAATAAGCAGCGGTATTATTATTGTTTATTTAATATTCATTACTATTGTTATTTCTTATTATCATTTATTATTATTAT